TAGTGCTACTAGAACTCCGGTTCAAATCTTAGAACATACATTTGGACCCATAAACACATTTTCCAAAAGTGGAACACAATAAAAAGGTCATATTTTCCAAAAGTGAAGCATAATAAACTCGTATATACTTACTGTCGCGTGGAAGAAAAGTAAACGTAAATTGAGGAAATTTGTTTTTGTATCATTTACTTTAAAATTTCTTGGACACCGTGTGTGTTAAACTATATAGTATGACATACATGGTTTGACCCCTTACACCTATTTTTGTACCGACATTCATTCTCTTATTGTGCCACATGTTTTTCCATATGTATTGTAATTATAAATCAATTACTCAACTAATTACCCAATTAAATATATTAATAAACATGTAATTTTTACTAATAAGATATTGCCATATGAATAAACATGTAATTTAATTATGCCAAATTATAATTAAATTAGTATTCTTATATGCCGTATATAAATTACGAGATTCCTAGTTACACAAATAATATTATATTTCTAATTTTAATAGGGGAAAGTTTCTCTAATTATCATAATTAACCTATTAATTAGGTTATTGACATGCAATTTACATAATAAATCATGCAATCACGTACCAAAATTTATCCATAGGAAAAATCTGCGTATGGGTAAAAGAAACTAGTGTTCAACATTTAATGAGGTCCTTAAAACTTTTAAAAAACTTATTTCTAGCCCTTAATTCAAATCTAACAGCTGCCTAGGTTGTTTTCGGATGTTATTCTTTTCACATGCAATTTTCATCTTTTGGCTTTTGATCTCGTTAGGTTGATCTCGAGTGATCTTCATTCATCATTTTATGATATGAATCAACTATTGGATATTTGCAATTTGGTCCTCAAATTTTTCGTCGATTTTTCATTCATTTCTTCCAATTTCACTTTTAATCATTGAGTTTCATCTAACTAACAATATAACCAGGGATTATGCTATTTATCACAAGTAACCTCAAATATTCATATTTAACGGCGTAGATAAGTATATAAATTACGCTTCGGTAGAACCACTAAGTGATGTTCACGTTTTTCTTTTTCTTTTCTTGCTTTATGATAGATCTTTCTTGATGAAGTGATGTATACAGCTCCACTGAACATATATACTCCTATCTTTCTATGTTTGATCAGATGGATACAAAAGACATCCTTTTCATTTGTGGAGGAGCATTTAATGATTTGGAGAAAACTATTTCTGAAAGGTGATGCTTGCAGTTTCCTACTTCCTTTTTCTGGAAGATGCTGTGTTAAATAGAATTATTTGTTGCTTGTGGGCTCCTGATAATCTTAGGAATATAATCTTTTTATTTTCTTCCAGACGGCAGGATTCATCAATTGGGTTTGGAGCTCCTGTTCATGCTAACATGAGAGCAGGTGGAGTGATTGATGCTGTCGTAACAGCATCCTTACTAGAATCTGTAAGATTAAAGACCCTTGAATCTCTAAGAATTATCCGCGCCTTGCATGAACCTGTTACTTTACCACAATACGCTCTTAGCTCTATTTATGTTCTGAAAAAGAAACTTAATATTTTCAGGTCGAAAGTAATGATCTAATTGCATACGGCCTTATACCAGAATTTATTGGGCGCTTCCCTATTTTGGTTAGTTTGTCGGCTCTGACAGAAGACCAACTTGTTCAGGTTAAAACAATATAATTGCTTACTATTTCAGTGGGTTTTACTGTTTCCTCTATTTCTATCATCCAATGCATGCACAAATGTAATGTGCAAAATTTCTCAATATGTCTTGCCCTGACTGTCAGAAAATGTATTTCCACGCAAATCTGAAGTTTAAATGCATTCCTATCTTTTTCCTGCTATTGCTTGTGACTAGAATGAAGTTTTAAACTTTCTACCCCATGCATATATGTGTCTATACAAAGGCCTAAACTAAGTATACATGCATCTCCTGTCCACACTACTTGAGGGCCAATCTGATATCAAGTATTTTCCTTAATTATGTTATTATAATGAGATAGAAAAATGAAAGGGTTAACGATTATCATTCTTCTCTAGGTGAATTATATCCAGTTGATTCTTGGTTAGTAGGAGGAAACTAGAACTGGATGGGGAGAGTCTGAAGTACTTGCATTTTTTGCTCCTTTGAATAAATTACTTAATGAAATATTTTGTGTAACATGATGCTTGATGAATGTAGGATGAATGTTATAGTCCTTATTTATAAGAGGAGATATTCAATATTATACAAAATAGAAGGTAATAGCTTGTGATATGTAATTGAATTATAACAGAGTATGATTGTGCATATATTAGATGGTAATTTGAAGGTTTTTGAAAATAAGTTTGTGATGCAGGAAAATTCTAGTAGAATTCTACAAGGATTGATTGGAAGTAAAAATGAGAAGTAAATTTTCATATGGTTTTCACTGAGTTAGAAATAAGGCATACGATTGGATTCCTAGGGAAGTGCTATGATAGAAGTTACACTTTTTGCTAATACAGGAGTGGGTGTATAATTCGCTTTCAGTTCTTATCTTTTTGATTTAGGCATGGATGAATTTACCAAGAATATCCACAATTAGGTATTTAGTGTATTTCATTCATTGGTAGTTTTTGCGGAAGAGACTAAGAATTGATTCATTTAAATAATTCAACAGTTGGAACTTTGAAAGAATTAAATCTGGGGTTTTTAAACCTAAAAGAACTTACTAGGTAAATCTGGGGTTTTTAAACCTAAAAGAACTTACTAGGAGTACATGGAATGCCTTTTGATTCATGGTAGAAATAAGTATAGTAGTGGAGTTATAATACTGGATCATGAGATACCAAAGAGTGATTATGTGATATACTTGGATTTGATATCGAGGAGGACTTGAAGAGAACATAATGCATATTATTAGAGTAGGTTGAGAGAAGTAAAGAAGTGTTACATTGATTTTATCGGTTTGGAACTCATCTACAAAGTTATCTTGAAGTTCTATAAAATGGTAAAAGACTAGATATACTTTATGGTATCATCTTTTAAGCAGTTAGGAGAGAATATATCCATAGGATATAGAATAACAGAAAATGAGGACAGTGAGATGGACATGTGATAAGACTAGAATGAATAACTAATATATTAGGTTATGCACAACATGTTGATGAGGCACTAAGCGAGGATAACCTGACGGTAGGAGTTGAAGCATGTCTTGTATAGAATTAAATAAACCTTCCATTCACAAGAGTGTTGCATACAGATCATAATTAACTTTTTCTGAATGGACATTCAAAACAATAACATTATTTGAATGTAAAGCTCTTCCTTGAAACTTTTAGAAGATATTGTTCTATTGCAATACACGATGGCTGAAAATAGATTTCTGTAATCAA